CTTGTGTTATATTAGAATTCACCCTTTTCTGGGAGAAAATCAATTTCCACTGAGGCTGAACTGGCTCTGAGGAGACATGTCTGGTGACGCGACAGACACCAAGCTGTACAGAGCATGTTATTTTGCCTCCCTGGTACAGTGTGGATTCACACTGAACAGAAGCATGGCACATCCAGTGCTAATTTACAGTTCCCTGCACTAAAAAATGGCTGGCTTCAAAGTCATTAACATCATCGCCTGTGCGTCAGATGCATTTGTGTGATGTGCAGGACGAATCGCTGATATCATTTTCTGCACATGATGCACAGCAGCCCTAACATCATTTTGTAAAAGATGCAACAGCAGCACTTCTTGCACACGGGAAGCAAAGACTGTTTGTAGTAACCTGGCATCCGTGAAGTCAAACCATTTTTTCGTCTTTTGCTAATTACTTGCCAGCTAAGATACTGAACCCAGCTGACTGCATTATTACTTTACTAAGAAGCAACCATTCATCACTACGCTCTGCTTTCTGTTCCCCAGCCAGTTTTGTATCCATGCTGTCACTGTCCGTTTAATACTGTGGGTTTAAATTTTCTAACATGTGGCACTACATCAAAACCCTTTCGAAAATCCACATGTACTAGATCAATTGCACTATCTTCATTCACATTTCTGTTACTTCATCAAAAAACTCTATCAGGTATGTTAGACCCGATTTGCGTTTTAACAAATCTGTGTTGGCTCAGTAAACTAGGATGCATCCCATCCGGACCGGGTGACTTATCTACCTTGAGCACCATCAACCTTTTTAGTACCTCCTCTCGGTTTATTCTAATCCTATTCAATTTCTCTACCTTCTCCTCCGATACTGTGGCAGTGGCTGCGTCCTCTTCTTTTGTGAAGACAGATGCAAAGTACTCATTCAGTATGTCAACCATGCCCTCCGCCTCCACAAGAAGATTTCCTCTTCGGTTCTCTAATCGGCCACACCCTACCTTTGACTAACCTTTTGTTCTTTAGGGTTCCCTTTTATGTTACTTGCTAATCTTTTTTCATATAATCTCTTTGCCCCTCTTATTTCCTTTTTTAGTTCTCTTCTGCACTTTCTATTTCTGTTTGATTATTTTCTGCATTTTGGACCCAGCATTGTGGAAGGAAAAGATTAAATAAGCCGAAGGGCCTTCTTCATCCGAAATTCTCTTGTGAAATCAATTCTTTCAGCAATTTGAAAGCAGCATGATTTGTTCTCAGTCAGGAGACTGTGGGGCAGCCGAGCACTCACTCTCACCAGCAGAATGCCAGGCTGCACATACATTCTAAACTCCCAGGCTTGTTCCCACACTCAGTATAGCACAGCTAAATGACTGCAAGGTTCAGAGGCCTGCCTGGAAAGAACTGCGTGTCCTTCCTACATCCCTCTGCCAGACCTCTCGATTGCAACCTCTGCATCCAGGATCTCGGAAAGTCTCCATATTTGTAAGTCTGACTGAAACAATCCTCAAGCCACAATTAATGCTTATGAAACGTACTCTTCTCTCCTCAAAACAGAAACAATCCTCATTTGAAACCAGTGGTAAGATGCATGCAGCGTGTAAATGAGTCACCATGTATGCCATAGTCTTTAAACTTTACAAATTAACAGCTGGAACAGCTTTACCAGGAAGGGTGGTAAAGGCCAGGAGATTGGACTCATTAATGAAACAGCTTGAGATGATAGTGAGAAGACAGTTTGTCGGGTTTTCTCAAAGGATGAGATCAAATGGGCCTTGTTCAGGTTTGTGAAGGGCAAGTTTAGGACACACAGTAGGAAGCATTCTCTTACATAGCATTCTCTTACATGTGGAGTCCTGTAGCTCAGTGGTTAGAGCACTCGCTTTGCAAGTGAGAGACCTGAGTTCAATTCCAGGCAGGGCGAAACCTTGGGCAAGTTTCCTTACTCCACACGCCTAATAATAATCCCTCCAAAAAACCAAAAACAATAATTAAATTGGTCATTTTCAATCTACGACTGTTTGTGGGACATTGCTGTGCGCAATTGGCTGCCGCGTTCGCCCACAAATATACAGTCAATTCACTTTACAGTATGTTCTGTGAAGCGCTTTGGGACGTCCTCCCGACGTGAAAAGCGCTATATCAAATGCAAGGATTATTATTATTATTATTATAGAGCATAATTAACATCTGGAACAGGTTACCATGAAGAGTGGATAAGGCCAGAACCCCTGACTTATTTAAGAAATAATAATAATATGACTCGATCCTGCAAAGGGAATGAGATAGGGTTAGTGTAAAGGCTTCCTTCATCCGAACCTTTCTTGCAAGCTTCTGACATCCTGGGTCACCTCACTCAAGGACACAGAAGTTGGATTGTGGTGCATAACATCAATGAGCATGTGAACCCCCCTCCCCCCCACCCCATCCTCTTCCCATGCTCCACACAGCAACTACCGTCCTCCACTGAATTGCCAGGCTGCAAGTGGAGGCTGTGCCAATGTACACACAAATACCAGCACAAGCAAGACAGGTCACGTAACCTCTTGCTGTGCTGTAAAATTTGTATGAATTCCATAAACAAGGTTTTATTTTTACATCCATGGGAAACTGGGTTGAGAAGCCCATTTCTAAAATGTTCTTCGCTGTTTCTCACTATCTGCTATCAGCTGGGATCAGTACATCAGCTACATTTTGTCAACAGCAACAAGATTACATTTGTATAGCTCCTTTCACATTGGGAGAACGTCACAACTTGGACATATGTAGCTCCCTCCACGCAGGGCAGCGTCTCAGAGCACTTAACAATGGCGAGCCGGGGTGGGGGTGGGGGGGTGGGGGTGGGGGGGGAGATGACCATAAACCCGGTCGAAAAGGAAGGTTCTAAAGCAGGACTTGAAAAAGGGGAGACAGGAGGCAAGGCGGAGGGATTGAGGGAGAGTATTTCACAGTTTTGGGGCATAGTGGCTGAAAGCGCGACATTCAATGGTGGAATGGAGGGTGTGAGGGATAAATAGGAGGTCAGTGACAGTTAAGTGGAGGCACTGGATAGTGGATTGGGGAGTGAGGAGGTCGGAGAGATAGGGAGGTGCCAGGGAGTGAAGCGATTTCCATCTCCAATCAGGGCACCCTCTGTCTCCTCATCCTCCTTGATCTCTCTGTTGCCTTTGATATCGTTGACCACTCTATCCTGCTCCACCTCCTCTTCTCTCACCTCAACCTTCCTGGTTCTGTCCTTCAGTGGTTCAGATTCTACCTCTCACACTCTCTCCACTTCATCTCCGCAAACGGTTTCACCTCTAGCCCCCACACCATCTCGTGCGGCGTTCCTCAGGGCTCTATCTTTGGTCCCCTCCTCTTCAATATCTACGTGCTCCCTCTTGGTGACATCATTTGCAGACATGGGGTCAACTTCCACATGTACGTGGATGACACACAACTCTATCTCTGCCTCCATCCTCGACTCCAGGACCACTGCTGTCCTGACAGACTGTCTGTCAGACTTTAAGTCCTGGATGAGACCTAACTTTCTACAGCTAAATGCCAACAAGACCGAGGGCCTCCTGAATGGCTCCCGGCACTGACAGCACCACCATCCATGGATGCACACTCCACCTCTTTGAACCAGTCCGGAAAGTTGGCGTCTTGTTTGACCCTCAACTGTCCTTTCTATCCACATATGTCCAACACCTTGGGATGTCCTCCCGACGTGAAAGGTGCTATACAAATGTCAATTTGTATTGTATTATACTGATTCACAAAGCATATGTGTTCAGGCATCTGGAAACAAAATCTGTTAGAAAGCGTGTGGGAGGTTACAGCAGATATCGATTGGTTAGCGAAGTGGACAGATTTGTGGAAAATGGAATTTAACACAGAGAAAAAACGAAACAGTATACTTAAGAGAAAAGAAAAGAGAATGGAAATTTACTCTCAGTGGTAAAATTATCAATGTAATGGAGGAACAGAGAGATCAAAGGATACAAAACCATAGATAGATGAAAGTGAGAAAACTGATGGAAAATGCCAGCTTGGCTCAGTTGGTAGCACTTTTGGTTTTGAATTAGAATGCTGTGGGTTCAAGCCTCGTGTCAGACCTTGGAACCCATTTCGTCTTTGCTGACTCTCCAATGCATTGCCTGGGGAGTGCTGCATGGTTGGAGGTACCATTCTTTGGACGAAGGCATTAAAACTGAAGTCCGGTTTGCTTGTCCAGGTGGACTTTAAAGATCCCATGGCACCACAGCAACTCACCCCCATTGTACAAGGTATTTGGACCTAGCCAGAATAAGCCTGAAACAGAATTTTTTAAAAAAGACTGCGCATCTAGAGTCCCACAGGCCACTCTCTGCCTCATCGTGCTTGCTGGCCTTCATTGGCTAGGGATATCGATTCTGACTCAATTTGAACAAGCAGAAGATAGCTTATTCACAATCTTCTTTACCGATTTATCATACTTTTTGACACTGAAAAAAGCCAGTAAATGCCAGGACCAGCATTGTAATTGCACTTAGCCTAAATTCCGGCTTGCCGGACCAGAGCTCCTCCCCATTGGTCCAGCCAGCTGGGATTTTAGTGTATTTGAAAAGAGAAGAGAGTTCCTCACAATAACCTGGCCAAGAAGCCCCCAAGTAAAATTGGTGACTCACTCCAGTTGTTTGTGGGACATTGTTGCGTGCAAATTGGCTGCCATGTTCACTGACAAATACACACAGTCACACCATTTATATAGTACAATATATCCTGTGAAACTCTTTGAGACGGCTCGACGACATGATTGGGCATTGTATCAAATGCAAGGATTATTATGATATTATTGTATGAATAAGGGAAAACTGTGGAATTTATATACAGAGCCTTGTGAATTAGGGGGTACTGGGGAAGAGCAGGAAATTGCTAAATGAGGAGAGAGAGCTCCTTTGGAGGAACAGACAATGACACAAAAATAATGGGTTGAATGTCCACCTGTTCTATGGATCAATGGAAAGCAATGCACTCCTTTCCTCCAAAGCCACTGACAGACTCACCCACTGATGTGCCCTGTAGGAGGCTGCTAAACTCCGCTGACTCCTCCAGCACCTTCAGAAGGTTAGTGGATTCCATTTGCTCCAGCTGCACCCTCCAGTACACATAGATTTTGTGGTTGAAGCTGACATACACCAGACAGGGTTTGTTTCGACCCTCTTTGCACGCAAACATACCTGGACATGGCAAAAAAAGTGACAGTGAGAAAAGGGGGAACCAGACACAGATAGACACATGCAAACTGTCTTCTTGCGCATGCGCACTGAGGAGGAATCCATATTGCACAAGTAAGGCAATGACGTCAAGTTTTTTTTGTGCCTACTCTTGCAAAATAACAGTAGCGAACTGCGAAAAAAGCTGCGAGTAAAGTCGCCCAATTGTCAGGCACAGCTCCCGGCCTCCAGTCTTGGTGTTTTGGAGACAGACCAAAAAAATAATGGTTCACCCTTGCGCAAATACCTCGACATCTTTGAGACATGAAACCATGGCGAAATGTCTCATGAACACTGCAAGCAGTCTTTGGAGGACCGGAGTTTGTGTAAAAACTCTGCCTCTGCAATTTGTACTCAGGAACAACAAGGCAAGTTACCTTCAATCAAACTCTGTGAGGATTCATGCTTCATTTCTTTTTCTACTTAAGAGTCGAGAAAATGCATTTAGCAATTAACAGCCATTGGCAAACAATTAAATGTCAACAAAACCCATCAACAGCTTTGTTATATTGAGAAAAACCCAGTTTATCAGATGTGAAGGCACACCTTTGTGTAACAGCTTCCCTTCCTGCACTCCAGTAGAGATCAGACAAGGCCTTATTAGCTTGTGCAAGACCCATCTCACAAAATGCTGCCACATTGTTTGTATTCAAAGCATTACCCAGCCGAGCAGAAAGCTGCAAATGTGCTCATATCCCCCACGTGGAGAGATTGTCTTGTCTAACAGGAGCAACTGGAGACTGAACACATCATCTTTCCAGTTTCAAACTCATTTAATTTTATTGTGCTAATGCTTTCTAAAAACAATGCTACATTTGCAGTTGGAAACCACAAATTAGTCTTGTCCGGGACAGACATATAGTCTTCATTCTGGAATAGTCTCCAAAACTCAGTGTACACAAATTGGTTTAAAGGCAGCAGAATATTTATAGGCATAGAAAAGGAGTTAACAGTCTGGAGGAGTCCACAAGAAAGAGCAAACAAGAGTCAAATACAAGTCTGTAAAAGGACGCAAGCTTTTCACTTTACAAACCCCAGGGAGTTTATCCGTAAGACCTTTCTTATAATAATCTTCACTTTTGATGTTGTGCCTGAAAACAACAAAATGACTCCAAGCGCTTCAGAGGGAATTCCAGTCTTGTTTTGTGTTTGCATATTTGCAGGCAAATACGACAGCCAATTTGCGCACATCAATGTTTCACAAACAGTTGAGAACTGAATGATCAATTTTATATAGAGAATTGTTGACAAGGAGACCAGGAGAAATTCTCTTCATTTTTAAACTGTGCCCTGGGGATCTATAACGATCTGACCACAGCTTTACGTCTGTCAAGTCACAGCCTTGCTCAACAATGTTCTTGGGGTGCTGCAGAAGATTCTCAGAAATAATGCTGTGAATTTCTTGGGTCTTTTGAGATGTTTTACTTTTGCTAACCATTTCCTCTCCCAGTTGCTCGGAAACTATCTGTAGGGATTGGGAATATCTGTAGGGATTAGGAATATCGGAACACAAGAGGATATTCTGACCATCGACTCTGTTCTACCACTTTATTCATTTTTGCTAGATCTTTTAATCCCATTACTCTGTCCTTTTGCCATACCCTTTAATAGCTTTCATAATAATACAATAATCTTTAAATTTGATCTAGCACCTTATTAATAATAATAATAATAATAATCCTTGCATTTGATATAGCGCTTTTCACGTCAGGAGGACGTCCCAAAGCGCTTCACAGAACACACTGTAAAGTGAATTGACTGTATATTTGTGGGCGAACGCGGCAGCCAATTGCGCACAGCAATGTCCCACAAACAGTCGTAGATTGAAAATGACCAATTTAATTATTGTTTTTGGTTTTTTGGAGGGATTATTATTAGGCGTGTGGAGTAAGGAAACTTGCCCAAGGTTTCGCCCTGCCTGGAATTGAACTCAGGTCTCTTGCTTGCAAAGCGAGTGCTCTAACCACTGAGCTACAGGACTCCACCTTACATTGTTGAGACATCTCAAAAGTGTTTCACAGAATATACAGTAAAGTGAATTATCTGTGTATTTTGTGGGCAAAATCCCCAAGAATCCTTTGAACATCCCTATTGATTCGGCATCAGTTTCAGCCTGGATTGTGAGCATGAGTCCTAATGTGGAGCTTGAACTTATAAACTGTTGATCTTTAGCTCAGTCTTGTAACTGTACAGGCTGACATCAGCAAGATGTATGTAAGATGGGAATTTTAAAAAATGCATTCGGTCAAATGGCTTCTGACACTGTCATATATTTGTTAGGTTACTGCACTTAACACTGACACTCACCAGCACAAAATGCACTGACGTTCTCATCAAACTGAAATCGTACAACGGACCTGTTCTGATCAATAATATAGGTTTGTCCATCCCACGCACAGGCCACAACCTCCTCCCGTCCATCGCCCTGTACCAGGAGAACACACTGTTACACCTGCACCAGGAGTATACACATATACCCTGTTCTTGGAATCCATACACATATCCTAGACTAGATTGGTCCAACCTTTTGGCTGCCCTGGGTTGGATTCCATGTTTGAGAAAGGTTCTCGGGCCCCATAAGCAATATTTTGTGTTTCCGTTCCAGCAACATAACATTGACACAGCACCTTTTTCATGTTGGAAGGATTTCTCAAAGCGCTCAACACTGCTGGCTGGGCACCTGAGCTGGGGGTGGGAACCAAGGGAGGTGGGATGGGTAGGGGAAAAGATGGCCAAAAGTGTGGTCAAAGAGTTAGTTCTTGATGTGCTTTGAAAGAAAGGAGGAAGGGTGGGAGGGAGTCTGAGGGACTCCAGGAATGGAACTCAGGAGAGCTGGGGCACAATAGAGATGGTGAGGCAGATGGGATGGGGGGGGGTGACACGAAGCAAGCTGGTGTTTGCTGGGCAAAGGGAACAGCCGGGTTGGGAGTTCGCAGAGGTGGGGGGGGGGGCGAGAGGGAATGAAGGACGTAGAAAGGTTTTTCACTGGGGCAAGAGGGAGCTTTCTGTGAGGAAACTGCATGGCACATATCTCGGTGTCTGTCCTTGGTCATCGTCTTCCCTGACAGCAGCCGAGGGAGATCTGATCATCTGTCCTGACTGAACCACGAAACGCTGTCCTCAGGTCTGAAATGCTATACACTGTCCAGTGCCTTGGGACGTCCTTCTCATGTGAAAGGCGCTATATAAATGTAATCTTGTTGTTATTTTTGTTCTCTGTTGCCCTCTCCCCTCTCTCTCTGTTCCCCTCTCTCAAAACCTTTTCTCTCTCCCTGTTTCTCAATCCCTCTGCTCCCCTTCTCTCTCCCCTCTCTTTGTCTCCATCCCTCCGTCCCCCTCTCCCCTCCCTCTCTCTATCGATCTCCCCTTCCTCTGTCTCCCCCCATTCTCTCTCTCTCTCCTCTCCCTCCTTCTCCATCCCCTCCTCCCTCAATCCCTTTCTCTCTCTCTTTCTCCTCCCTCTCTGTCCCCCTCACCCCGTCTCTCAATCTCTCTCTCTCTCCCAATCAGCCGTGCGGTTCACTATCTGCAGTGGCAGAAGCTGGCAGTTGCTACATATGTGATGGATAAGGAGCTTCTCTTCCCCTTAGCTCCCGTACACACTGCAATAATGGCCGGCATTATTTCCACTCTCCGCGCTGTGTCCTCCCTACCGCTGCCATGGAAGGACGGGAGGGAAGGACTGCCAGGCAGGGAGCGGAAGATGGAATGTCGGAAATGGTCTCGGGCCCGATAATCACCCACTGGGCCGGATGCCACCCGCGGGCCACCAGTTGGACCAAGAGAACACTGACACAGTGTAACTAGCTGAAGACTCAGGGATTATGGAAAAAGTACAGGATGAACAACAATAACAACAAAATTACATTTGTAGAGCGCCTTTCACGTCGGGAGGACGTCCTAAGGCGCTGGACCTACAACGTTACGGGCCCGAGCTGGGGGCTGGGGTGGGGGAGGGCGGGGGGGGAAGGAGAGAGATTGAAAGCACGGTCGAAGAGAAATCTTGAGGTGGTCTTTAAGGTGGTGAGGGAGGGGGCAAGACGGAGGGACTGCGGGATGGAGTTCCAGGGGGTGGGTGGAAAGTGGTGGAAGGCCCGCCCGCCAATAGTGGGGCGAGCAAGGTGGAGAACGTGAAGCAGGCCAGAGCCCGCTGAGTGGAGGGAGCGAACAGGATGGTAGGGGGTTAGGAAGTTGGAGAGGTAGGGGGGAGCAAGACTGTGGAGGGCTTTGAGGGTAAGCACCAGGACCTTGAACTGTATCCTGTGTGATGGGAAGCCAGTGGAGTTGGGCAAGGATGGGGGTAATAGGGTCGCGGAGCCTAGTGTGGGAGAGGACACGGGCTGCAAAGTTCTGGATGACCTGCAGTCTGTGGAGGGAGGAGTTGGGGAGGCCGACAAGCAGAGGGTTTGCATAGTCAAGCCTCGATGTAATGAAGGCATGTATGAGGGATTCGGCAGCCTGTGGGCTGAGACAATGTTGGAGCCGGGCGACGATGAGGAGGTGGGGGAAAGCAGAGCTGGTCAATGCGCAGATGTGGGGTGGAAAGGAAAGTTGAGAGTCAAACAAGACCCCAAGTTTCCGGACTGGCTTAGCAAGGTTGAGTGTGCAACCATGGATGGTGATGCTGTCAGCGAAATGAACCAAGAGCAGGCAGGGAATACTCACTGTTACGTCCAGCTTCTCCAAGGCAAAAAGCTGGTGATCCACTTGAACAGACCACAGAAGATTTTCTGATCCATCCATTAACTTGAGAGTACCTGTGCAAGGAGGCAATCCAGAATGCTTTACCCACTAGCATCCTACTAAACACACAGCACATCATGGAAGGGGTCAAAGTGGCAGCATCATACCTTTCTCAATTTTACATCACAAGGTTTGTTCTATAATAATAATAATCCTGGCATTTCACGTCGGGAGGACGTCCCAAAGCGCTTCACAGAACACACTGTAAAGTGAATTGATTGTATATTTGTGGGCGAACGCGGCAGCCAATTAGCACAGCAATGTCCCACAAACAGTCGTAGATTGAAAATGACTAATTTAATTATTGTTTTTGGATTTTGGAGGGATTATTATTAGGGCTGTGTGTGGAGTAAGGAAACTTGCCCAAGGTTTCGCCCTCTGCCTGGAATTGAACCCACGTCTCTCGCTTGCAAAGCGAGTGCTCTAACCACTGAGCTACAGGACTCCACACTTCTATGAGCGTTCTAGTTTTCAATTTTGGTTTTAGAGTCATAATCACTCATTATTATACATCAAATCCTGCCTATTCTCTTGGGAGACTGAGCTTCCTCACCCTGATCCATGCCAAGAAAAGTACCCTGTAAACGAACCCTACATTTTATCTTCCCAGCTTCATAGAATCATGGACCACGAAAAACTCAAAAGGAGGCCGACCCATTTCTGTTTGCTGCTTGCTCCCCTACTGCAGCTTCCTGTATTTGCTCTTAGCCCGTTACTCTGCTCTATTCTCAGTCTGTCTGTACCAATGACAATTCCTCCACTGGGCAATCTTCACTGATCCCCTTTCACGACTCAACCCCTAATCATGATTGTGCTGGTACTTGCTCCTCCACTGGAGTTTTCTGTTCTTTAATATCTTCATTCTATGAGTGTTCATCTAATAAGACTTGTAAGCAAAATAGAAGCACTTGGTACTAAAGGGACAGTGGCAGCATGGATACAGAACTGGCTGGGAAACAGAAAGCAGAGAGTGGTGGTGAACGGTTGTTTTTCTGACTGGAGGGAAGTGTGCAGTGGTGTCCCCCAAGGACAGTATTGGGACCACTGCAGTTTGTGATCCATATAAATGACCTGGACTTGGGTATAGGTAGTACAATTTCCAAGTTTGCAGATGATATTAAGCTAGAAAAAGTAGTAAACAATGAGGAGGATAGTAGCCGACTGCAAGAGGACATAGACAGACTGATTAAAATGGGCAGACACATGGCAGATCAAATTTAATGTGGAGAAATGCAAACTGATGCATTTTGGAAGAAAGAATGAGGAGAGGCAATATAAGCTGATGGTAGAATCTTAAAGGGGGTGAAGGAACCGAGAGACCTGGGAGTTCATATAAGAAATCTTTGAAGGTAGCAGGACAAGTAAATAAAGCTGTTAAAAAAGCGTACGGTATACTGAATACAAAAGACAGGAAGTTATGATAACCCTTTATAAAACACTGGTTAGGCCTCAGCGAGAGACTGTGTTCAGTTCTGGACACCACACTTTAGGAAGGATGTCAAGACATCAGAGAGGGTGCAAAGGAGATTTACCAGGATGGTACCAGGAATGAGGGAATTCAGTTATCAGGAGAGGCTAGAGAAGCTAGGATTATTGTCCTAGTAGCAAAGAAGGTTAAGAGGAGACTTAATAGAAGTTTTCAAAATTGTGAGGGGATTCGATAGGGTGAACAAGGAGAAACTATTTCCACTGCCCCCGAGGGCACTGATTTAAAATAGTTGTTAAAAAGAACAGAGGAGAGGTGAGGAGAAATGTTTTCACACCGCGAGTTGTTCAGATCTGGAATGCATTGCCTGAAAGGGTGGTGGAAGCCAATTCGATAATAACTTTTAAGAGAGTAGATAGTTATTTGGGGAGGACAAGTTTGCAGGGCTATGGGGAGAGCGTGGGGGAATGTGATTGATTTGGATAGCTCTTTTCAAAGATGTGTCAAATGGCTCCCCTTTTTGTGCTGGGTAGTTCTATGATTCTATGAATGATGTAATTGACTCATCTATAGTAGTCACTCATGGTTCAGCGAATACCCCGTTTGGAAACATTCTTTGTAATCACCCCTTTATTGTTCAAGTAATAATCTTGAGTTAATGTTTCCTTGCTCCTGATTCTCCAGTTTGTGGGAATAGTGTGTCATTATTCACACTCTCAAATCGTTTCATAATTTTGAAAGTTGTTGTGAGCTCCCCTTTGAGCCATCACTGCTCCAGTAAAATAGCTTTTTTTTGCCTTTCGTCATAAGTACAACCTGTCATCCCTGATAGCACCCAAGTGAATCTTTGCTAGATTCTCAATATTTCTGATGTACATTCTGCAATGGAGCCACAAATGCACTTATCACTGAAATGGCAGGCAAACAGTTTCCTTTGAAAAGTTTTTCACCACAGCCATCCCACTCTTCCTCTGTCCTCTAATACCAGGCATGCACACAGGCACGTTCATCCAACTTGGAAACCACATGGTTTCATCCTTCCTCTTCCTCCCTCACAATTGGAAAGGGAACATCCTTCCCACAATGTTGAAAAGGAATCTAAAACTTCACTGGAGATAATGCACAGGCAACCAATTTGTAGAAAAGGATACCAAATATGGAATGTATCGACAACTGGGGGATAAAGGATGGAAAAAATGGTGGTCTTGGAGGAGGGGAGAGTGATGTGAGAAGAGAGGGAGATGAGGAAGTGGTCTGAGATGGCCTTGTCTGTGATGGACAGCTCAGCGATATCTAGGCCAAGGGTGATGCTGAGGTCGAGGGGGTGGCCACGGTTGTGGGTCAGAGAGTTTACGTGGAGGTGAGGTTTAGGATGGAGAGGAGGGTGGCAAAGTCAGAGGAGGTGGGGCAGGAGGAATTTACATGAAAGTGGAAATCGCCGATTATGAGCAGGCATTTTGAGCAGAGGGAGAGGGATGAGAGGAGATGGGAGATATTTGCGAGAAAGGAGCCAGGAGCTTTGGAGGGCTGTAGATCATACCCCTGCAATTTTCCATAAAATTTGTTGAATTTCCCTGCAATTTCCTGCAAAATTTGTTAAATTTCTCTGCAATTTTTGGCAAATATTTCCGTCATTTTCTTTTGGCCCTGTCAATATCCTACAAACAGTGATGAAGTGAATGCCCAATTTTATAGCTGGGTAGAATATCAATAAAAACTCTGTTCTACTTTCAAATTGTGCCTAAATAACACGGTGTTTCACATTGCAACATATAACAACTTGCATTTTTATAGCGCCCTTCACACGGGATACCTTCTCGGAGTGCTTGACAGTGGTGGAGTCTCAAAACGAGCTGGGGGAGAGGGAGGTGACCGTAAGCACGATCAAACTGGAGGGTCTTTAGGCAGAATTTGAAAGTGGGGAGGGAGGGGGCAAGGCAGAGGGGTTGAGGGAGAGACTTCCAGAGTTTCAAGACATAGTGGCTGAAGGTACAGCCACTGATGGTGGAGCAGAGGAGACGAGGGACAAACAGGAGGCCGAAGCCAGATGAGCGGAGGTAGCAGGTGATGGGGTGGGGGGTAAGCAATTTGGATAGGTCGGGAGGTGTGAGGGCATTTGAAAGGGATGTGAAAACGAGTGTGAGGATCTTGAAATCGATCCGTTCGGTAATTAGGAGCCAGTGGAACCTTACAAGAATTGGTGTGATGGGGGAGTTTTGTGCTGGTGAGTATCCAGGCAGCGGAGTTTTCAATTAACTGAATTTTGTGTATGGTGTAGCTGGTGAGACCAGCGAGAAGGGCATTGGAATAGTCCAGCTGGGAAGTGATGAAGTTGTGGACAAGGGTTTTGATTACTTTGGTTACGAGGTATGGACAGAGACAAGCAATGTGACGGAGGTGGAAAAATGCGGTCCTGGTCAGAGAATGGATGTGGGTTGGAAAGGAAAGCTGGGGATCAAACCTGACGCCTAAGTTGCATACGGGTTCGGTTAGTCTGAGGGAGAACCTGGGGAGGTTAGGAGTTCAGACCCACAGAAGAGAAGACGTTGACGGGAGCCAAGGCGCATGGCTTCCTTCTTGCCGACATTCAGCTACAGGAAATTTGCACTCATCCAGGCCTTGATGTCCGTCAGACAAGCTGACAGAACATCAGCGGACTGGGGGTCGCAGCTGGAGGAGAAGTAGATTTGGGTGTTATTTGCGTGCATGTGGAAGTTGACACCATGGCTGCGGATAGCATTGCCAAGAGGGAGCGGGTAGATAAGGAAAAGGGGGCCAAGGATGGAGCCTTGGGGTATCCTGCAGGTGATCTGGCAGATGTGGGAGGAAAAACATCAGACCACACAGCATTGCATTGTTGTGCATGCTGTATTGTACTCCAATGAATTGCTTTCTTCTGACGCGCTGTATTGTACTGTATTATTGAGTATCATTATATTGTTCTGCATTGTTGAGTGAAGCACCTCTGACAGATGATATTCTTGCAATGCCTTAGTTCTGTACTAAGTATCATGGTTATTTCTTACCATCCAAAGTGCAAAGAGCAAACAGTCCAGATTTTGACTCATCCTCACTGGGACCTGTGGAGAAAGAAGGAAATGTTCAGTGTTCATTCAGATTCAGTGCTCGACTCTGGATCAGAACATGGCAGGTTGAAGCCCCACATCGGGAGAGCCAGGGAGGTTGAGGATTTCAGACTCGCAGTAGAGAAGACGTTGACAGGAACTAGAGTATGGCTTCCGTCTTTACGACATTCAGCTGCAGGATATTTGCGTTCATCCAGGCCTTCATGTCCGTCAAACAAGCTGACAGGACATCAGCAGACTGGAAGTCGCAGCTGGAGAAGTAGATTTGTGTGTCATTCACATAAATGCGGAACTTGACCACACATCGCCGAGAGGCAGTATGTAGTTGAGAAAAAGAAGGGGGTCAAGGATGGAGCCTTGGGGTAACCCACAGGTGACCGGGCCAGGATAGGAGGAAATACCATTTGCTGAGATACATTGTTGGCGGTGCATCACTCGTGATAATATGAGAGGGCTCGAGCACTCACCTCTGCTGATGCTGCCAATCAAATGGGTGGAGACATTCTTGTTATGAATGCGTCCGGATGTCTGGTGCAGAATAACATCTCTGACCAGGCCTTCGCTGCGGAGAGAAAAGACAATCATGGTCCTGTCCCAAATAAGCATTTGCCAACTCTCGGCCAGTCTGCAGAAAACTCAACATACCCAAAGGAAGTTCACCCGCACTACCACGCCAAAAGAAAACATTGCAAAGTGGGCGAAAAACATGGAGTCCATCTTAAGGCATTACTGAATAAAGAGTATAAAAAAAGACTACAAGAAAGAGCAGAGAATTGCTCTTAGCTTCAGTGACAGAACAAACTAAGTTTAAGCTAAATGATGAAAGAAGAAATGTAGCATTTGAGTATGTAGCTCCAATGATGGGAGTCAGCACCAGTTTAGGCTCAATGTTCCAAAAAGATTTCTCCTTAAACAGCTAGGCATGCTTCTGTGCAAGAAAACAATCAGGCACTGCTGGAGAAAACACAGATGCTAGCACGTCTTGTGCTGCTGCAATTAGAAGTTTAAACAATTTAAACAAAGCTCCAGAGCAGTGTCACCTTTCTGACATTTGATACAAAGTCTGTAACATCTAAACATTGCACAGTGATTCACAGGGAACTGTTGTCAAACACAATGACTGTGGATTGATAATAATAAATAATAATAATCCTTGCATTTGATATAGCGCCTCATCACGTCTTTGAGACGTCTCAAAACGCTTCACAGAATATATCGTAAAGTGAATTGACTGTATATTTTGTCGGCTAAACACGGCACCCAATTGTGCACAGCCGTGTCCCAGACAGTCGTGGATTGAAGTGACCAATTTTTTTTTGAAGGAATTATTAACCCTGGAAAAGTGATCCGCCAATCGACTAACAACCGGGTTCCTAGTTACTGCTAGGAAAACAGAGGCGTGTGGAGTAAGGAAACTTGCCCAAAATTTCGCCCTGCTTGGAATCGAACCCAGGTCTCTCATTTGTGAGGCAAGTGCTCTAACCACTGAGCAACAGGACTCCACATATTTTATGCACAGAAATGTCCCACAAAGTGGGACAAGCACAAGTGAAGTGAATATGGCATGTACAGTAATGAATAAGTGAATATTGATCAAATGGCACTGCTTCAATACAATTAGTGTCATTGCAAACTGGTTACAAACTGAGGGAGCACAAAACTCCTTTAAACACAAACATCTTTTGCAGATGCAAAAGATTGTCCGTGTTTACATGTGATTTATCTTGAAGTTGACCACCAAATTCTTCTCTCTGATGTTAAATATATAGACATACCTCTCCCTCCCAAGCAAGCACTGTTTCAATTTCTAATTTATTCCAATAAAATGTGGTTGAGTATTTTCGACACTTGGCTTGTTTGCAATCTCGCTGCCTGAACCACTGTAAAGCCACTGCACTCACAGCAGCTGTACTCACACTGTGGGCACTCCAATGAGTGTCAGTTTATACACAGCACTATAATAATCCTTGTATTTGATATAGCACCTAATCACATCTTTGAGATGTCGCAAAACACTTCACAGAATATACTGTAAAGTGAATTGACTGTATATTTTGTGGGTGAACTAACACTCCACACTGTGGCTACTGAGTGCAAGTGCATACACAACACAAGCACTCCACTGTGTGCAGTGAATCAGTTTATACACTGACACTCCAACCGGTGGGCCTTGACTGTGCTGACTGTACACAGCACCAACAATCTGTACTGTGGATGCTGAGTCAGTGTGTTCTCTCAGGCCAATGTCCTAATACAATTCCCTAACACAATCTGAAATTCTGGTTTCTCCAGGCCAGAAATTCCCCTTACTAATTTGGCATTCATCTCAGAGTTGTGTGAAAACTGTTTGCCACATTTGCCTACACAAAACAATCACTACACTTGACAGTGTTTTCTGTAGAGTGGTTTGAGATGTTTTCAACGTGATAGATGACTAGATACAATAATATTAATTGAGCCCCCCCCCACCCACACACACACATCCCCAAACATTACTGAAACAAAAACAGAGAGAGCCGGGAAAACTCAACAGGTCAGGCAGCATTCATGGAGAAAGGAAAGTGTCAATGTTTCGGGTCCACGAGCCTTCGTCAGAACTGGGGCATGTTGGGAGGGAGAGGTTTTTAAGGACAAATTTGCCCAAACATTACTGTACATGCCTACCTGCCAGAGACAGTAGGTTGGTCTCTTTTCATTGTCCAATCCTGATCTAATCTCCAGGTGCAGAGAAGAACCGCATATCCACAGCCCGGCTGTGAGACCATCAGTTCTGGAGTTCCATCAGGTCCTGGGTTAACTGAAAGGCTGTCAACCTGTCACAATGCAGGGAACATGTGCAGAAATTTGGTGCACTGTCCCCATGGTTATGCTTATGGCAAATTCTCTAACTTAGCTAGGGCTCCACTTCACCTTTAAAGACCCCCCCATGGTCTTGCTCCACCCTACCTCTGCAACCTCCTAAAACCCGACCAATTTGTCCGCACCCTCTGCTCAGTGGGTACTGGCCTACTCTATATTCCCTGCCCTGCCCGCTCCCCCAGCGGAGGTCAGGTTTTTAGCCTTCCTGCCCCCTCTCGTTGGAACTCCATCTCTGCCTTGCCCCCTCCCTTGCCTCCTTCAGGGCCTGTCTCAAGAAGTTCCTCTTCGACCTCACCTTTGGTCATCTTACCACCACCTTTGCCCTCTACCACTCGACTCCAGCCTGCAGCTCGAGTGAAAACGCTCGACTGTCCAGCAATTTGGCACATCTTTCTGACGTGAAAGGTGCTGTATAAATGTAATTTGTTGGTGTTGCAAGGAGCATTTTGTAAGAGACTCTTTTGAAACTTGTACTTCCATCCATTGTGACAGGAGGAAAAGGTGGAAGGTTTGGCAAGAAATGGCTTCATCTCATTCCCAGGGATCAATTATTTCATATAAAAAACATCCAAACTCCTGGACTGGATTCTGGCCTATTTTTCATTCCAGGGATCAATTATTCTCCATGAAACTAATGTGTTGAATCATCTTAGTCTAAAAATCTACGGTGGTGGACAATTCACAACTTATCAGGGTCACAAGGTCTGTACCTGTCCTTCCAGAAGCCACTTCTTCAGGAATACCAGCTGTCCAGCAATGTGATCAGATCCATCAGTGGAGGAGTCTTCCCAGCGAAATGCTCTGACGACACGATCAGTATATCCCACAACCATCTCACACCTTCCATCTCCATCTGTAGGAGGCCACAGACAACTGTTCAGTCTCTTGTCTCTTCAATCTCCAGCCTTGGTGGGATCTCATCATAACCCCATGCCACATATTGTTCTCCTATTCTCTCTTCTCTCTAGTGTCCTGCCCCTATCCATCTCATACTCATTCCCCCTGCCCCACTTTACTCCCCTTTTCCAATCTCAAGATCACTTCCCCTTCCCCACTTTGCTTCCTCACCCCATTCCCCCATTCTCATCTTACTTCCCTCCTCCCCACCTCACTACCTCGATTCCCCACCCACTCTTGCAGGATGAGTTGACCCTGACTGGTCCTCCTTGGGTACTGACCGATGTCACTGATGAGCATCACCTTGGTGTTGGCTGGGATGTGCTGTGTGAAGGAGACTCTCTGCTCCTCCCCAAACAGAATGTCATGGTGACTGGACAACTCAGAGGTGGAGGACGCACCACTGAGGTCGAAGATATGGAACCATCCCTCAGCGCCCACTGCAACCACAAAGTTCTGCTCAGAAGAAGAGAAAAGGTACATGTATTCGTCACAGAGCCTTAACACATTTTCAAATTGCTTCTCATTAGTTACTGTCAATTGTGTCTGTTTTGATAGGCAAATATGGCAGCTAATTATGTCAGAAAAGTATCACAAAAGCACCCAAGGTTTGAAAATCATCTGGAGGATTGTTGGCTATGATAACAGAAAAAACATCCTCTTCTTTTCAAAAAGTGTAACGATATCTTATTAATGACAACTTGAATCTCAGTTCAATATCTCATCTGAAAGACAGCAACACAGACAATGCAGCTTTCCCCCAGGGCTGTGCTGGAGGGTCAGCCTGGCCTGTGAGCTCAAAGTCCCATGTTTGGTATTGAACCCACCAATGCGCCTAGCTCCACGTGTGAGCAAACTTTTCTTCGCCCAATTCCCTGCACTTCCCCAGATGCCCATTTTGCCTTCCTCTTGAAATGTCTGTCCAGCATCTTTTATAACTATTTTACTAGATTTGGGGTTTGTTGTCTGATTCTGCATCATATTTATGGTGTTTCTTTGCACCAGACACAGCATTTTATTTCAAAACTCAGCTTCACGACAGATACGAGCGTGAGGAAGGAGCTCACTGCAATCGACCCGTAGCGCTGTCCTTTCTCTCATGTGCTCCACAACAACTTGCATTTATACAGAGCCCTTCACGCAGGGTAGTGTCCCAAAGCCTTGATAGTGGCGGAGCACGACGCTGAGCCAGGGTTTGGTGCAGGGACCGTAAGCACGGTCGAAGTGGAAGGTCTTCAGGTACGATCTGAAGAAGGGGAAGGAAGGGGCAAGACAGGGATAGAGGAAGAGTGTTCCAGTGTTTTGTGGTACAGTGACTGAAAGTGCGGGCACCGATGGAGGGCAGGAGCAACATGCAGGAAGCTGGAGCTAGTCAAGCGGAGGCAGCGAGTTGGGGGTGAGCAGGTCGGAGAGGTAGGGAGGTGTCAGGGCATGAAGGGATTTGAAAACGAGCGTGAGGATCTTGAAATCGATCCGTTTGGGAATAGGGAGCCAGTGGAGCCTGGCTAGAACTGGTGTGATGGGGGTACGGAGTTTAGTGCGGATGAGTATACGCACAATCAATACACCAAGTACTTGCTAATCTCATACCTTGCCCTTGTTGCAGATGTCTCCTACACCTACACACGTCACCTGCAAATAAAGACAAAAGACTTGAGCACACTGTTACGTACTCATTCAGTAACATGGGTCTGACAGTTTACACACACAACCCACCTCTAATTTGCTCTCCACTATAAAGCGTATGCTCTTTTGGCTGAATTCCAAGTCCCAGAATATTTTATTTTTTCTAATAGATCAAAACATTTTGAAAAAAGGGAACAACCTAGGGTGCGTACTGCCGCCATGGCAAGGCACGTTCAGTGACTGAACCGGAAACATGTGGCCACAGCACCAGATGTGTGCGGTCTTGGCACACTTGTAGCGATGGCATGGGATGCTTGTGGCAGCTCAAGTCCCAAATTGTAACTACAACCTTCTAATCCAATGGCAAGAGTATATACCAAATGAGACAACCTGTCATCAACATGAGCTAGAGAAACAAAACACTTCAAACACGCTTCATTACTTCACGCTTGGAAGCTGTTGGATACCCAATAAGACATTAAGGACCAATTAACTAGGACCAATGGAAAAGGATCAGGAGGTAGCAAAGCAGGAAGCAGGGAGAACTGACTGGAGGGGTTTTGGTTGAATTGTTTGATTTGTGTATTGAGAACTGAGACTGAAAGAGTTTTGAGATGAGGAAGAAAAAGAGAGAGAAAGGAGTCATATCAGGCTAGGCATGAGAGGAGACTGGAGAAAAGACAGGCAAAAGCCTGGGTTTTTCACTGTTTAAGGAAAACTGGGTTAAATTTTTGCTGAGTCATGGGGAAAAAGAAATGGAGTGGGAAGGTGAAAGAGAGGAGGAAGAAGACCAGGAGTATCTTGGAAGATGGAGAAATAGAAATTATGATGCATAAAAACACCAGGAAGCATAAAACAAGTAGTAGGAGCAAAATGCCAGGGATACTGAAAGCAGAGAGGGGGGGGGGGGAGTAATAGTAGAAGTGAGAGAAGAAATGATGATGGAGATAAGAGAAGTGAAAGCAGAGGGAGGGGAAAGGAGAGAAAAGTGGGATAGAGAAAGAGGAGAGGAAAAGCGAAAAGGAGGAGAAAAGTGAGAAAGCTGCTGTGAAGCAAAGTGGGAAAATAGCAGAGAAAAATAAATTGGGAAGTGGAAAAAAGATTGCGGGGGGTGAGACAGTCATGGAAGTGGAGCCAAAGGCAGATGGTGGCAAAAACGTGTCAGGAACCCATGAGCTCGCGGAGATAGGGTCCAAAGATGTGCAGGAAGCCGTAAGCCAGTGGAGGTAGGGCCCAAAAACATGGAGAGAAGCTGGGAGACTGCTAAGGTAATCCGCAAAGCCGCAGTGAGAAACCGTGAGGCCGCAAAGATAGGACCCAAAAGTTTGGCGGAAAGCTGGGAAGAAAAACGGTGAATGAGAGCAGAGGGGAGAGAATACCTAGCACCAAGGAGACCAGAAGGGAGAGAATCCCTAGCGGAGAGGAGAGATTTTCTGCGTCCGAACCGGGAGGAGAAGCAGGAGAAGAAGCAAGGGATTCTTTGCAACTACAGGGAAAAATATGGACATGCCATTAGATGCAATGATAAAGGTCATGCAGGAAAGATGCTGTGGGTATAACAATGTCACAGTACATAGATACAAATGTGGAACAAGGAAGCAAGGGCCTGCAGAATCATTGGATCAATACTGTGCAGTATTATGATCACTAAGTAAAACGTGTAATTATGGAGCTTTAAAAGATGAGATGATCAGAGACCAAATTGTAATAGGGTTGAATAACAAAATACGCAGCAAGCTCTTGAAAGAGGAGACTTTAACGCTCCAAAAAGCTCTGCAAATTGTTGGTATAGGAATAATGTCCAAAGCACACACGAGGGACATTGATAGAAATGCGGAAGAGATGATGGAAATTGATGAATTAGCTCAAAGAAGAAGCTGGGATGATTCAAATAAAGGAATATGGAGTACAGAGGATATACAGGCCTAAAAGGCAAACAAATATAAAGGAAACGTGTGGATTAGTGCATCCTTTTTGGAGATCTTCTGCGGAAGGGAATATTACGTGTGTCATTTGTACGGGCATTTTATACAGGAGCTCAGGCAAGTGTAATGTTATTAGAAGAATATATACAGCTGGGAGAACCCAATATCATTTGAAGAGTATATACTGCTGGGAGAACCCAATAAAGACAAATTGGAAAAGTAGACTATTGGCCTATAACAAAGGAGAGATGGAGACAGTGGACAGAGTAGCTATAGAAGAGGTGTACAAAGATAAGTCATAGAAGATAAAGTTTCACATTGTAAAATTAAAAGCCGATACTCTGCTCGGACTACAAGATATCATTGAAATGGGATTGCTCAAAAGAATTTGGAGTGTGGAGATAGAAGACTACAAATAAAGGGAGACGGAAGAAATACTGGAAAAATATCAACAAGTTTTTGAAAAAGGGGCTTGATGAAAGGTGAATGCACAATAAGATTAAAAGGAACAGTAAAGGCAATGATATTGCTGCTCAGGAGAGTACCAGAAACATTGAAAAGGAGACTAAAAGAAACGTTAGATAAAATGGAAAAGGACCAGATAATATAAAAGGTCAACAAAACCTACTGATTGGGTAAGTACATTGGTAATTGTAGAAAAACCTCATTACGAGTATGTATTGACTCACAAAAATTGAACAAAGCAATAAAAAGGGAGCACTATGCGATACCTACTTTAGAGGATATTTCATGCGCTGTTGGAGCCAAATTTTCTCGACATTAAACTATTCATCCGGGTATTGGCAGGTCAAATTGTCAGAGGAAAGTACATATTTGACAACATTTTTGGCACCTTCAGGGAGACACTACTTCCACAGAATGCCATTTGGCATCAAATCAGCTCAAGAGGTAATTCAGAAAAAACTGTCAAATAATAGAAGGAATACCAGGAGTCATAAACTATATTGATGTCATCTTAATATGGATGGACAAGAAAGGAACATGTTGAAAGTTTGAAGCAGATAGTGAAAAAATGTTTGAAGGAAAATGTAAAATTGAACAAGGATAAATGCCACATGGGAGTAAATAAAGTAAAATAATTGGGACACACTATTACCCAGAATGGGTTAAAAATGTATCCACAAAACGTAACTGCGATCACCAAAATGATAAGAAGGCAATAAAAAGTTTGATGTGATTGGTGAATTGGATGGAGAGATTCATTCCCAAAGTCATTTAAGTTATGGAGTCTAGAAGAGAGATGGTCAAAGAAAACAGAGTTCATATGGGAAAAGGAACAGCAATGAGCATTTAATAAAATAAAAGAGGCCATATCAAAAGCTCCAGTATTAAAATGTTACGATGCAAGTGTACTGGTGACAATATCTGTGGATGTAAGTCAGTCAGGGAAAGGAGCAGTATTAATGCAAGGAGGAAAAATCATAGCATATGCATCCAGAGCTCTCTAGGAAACGGAGAAAAGATATACCAAGATAGAGAAGGAGCTGTGGTGTCTGGATGCGAAAGGTTCAAGCAATATGTATTGGGAAAAAAAGTGATTATAGAGAATAATCACAAACCATTAGAGACCATTCTGAGAAAAGGGCTAAATGAAACACCGCCAAGACTATTGGAAACTGAAACATGTGCAAGATATCAAAACCAGGAAAGACACAAGCCAATTATATGGCACAAGAAACCAAGTAAAGCCTGGACCAAAATAAGAACTGATTTGTTTTATTATAATAACAAAAACTACTTCATAATAATAGACTATACATCGAGATATAGTGGATATACTGAGTTGAATGAATAACATCCAAAACCATAGTGGAAAAAAACAAGGAAATCAATGCCCGGCATGAAATACCAAGGGAGATAATTAGTGATAATGGGCCCCAATTTTCAATAGAAGGTATTCACAAGATAGTGGGAAATAAACCACAAAACAACTTCATCAGGCTAGCCCCTAAGTAATGGTCCGATGGAACACAAAATATAGATTATAAAGAGACAGATAATTCTTGCATTTTTTTTTGATTTTTTTTGATACAGCGCTTTTCACATCTTCTTGACATCTCAAAGCGCTTCACAGAATATACTGTAAAGTGAATTGACTGTATATTTGTGGGCGAAACGCGGCAGCCAATTGTGCACAGCAGTGTCCCACAAACAGTCATGGATTGAAGTGACCAATTTGTTATTGTTTAATTCTGGCCAAATGAATCACTCTGAAAGACAACGAGGGACATTCACCAACACAAATACTGATGTCATAAGGTTAAGAAATTTGTTAACCTCGGAACAGAAAAATTCAGACCACAAGTGCCATACAATAGAAATAGAGGGAAAACACGAAATGAACCAGGAAAAGAGAATTTTTTTNACAAGAGGAGAGAGAATATGGTTTAGGAAGAAAAACCTAAAATCAGAAGGTTGGACAAAAGGAGAAATTTGGAAGAAAATCCAAGATCATATTGGCTTAAAAGTGATAAAAGAAAAACTTATAAAACTTATAAAACCTCTAAGCCAGAACAGGGATGAACAAACTGAGTACGGAAAAGAGGGACAGTGGCAGATGGCTGGCAAATGGGCCCGGGAAAAGAAGGCGAAGAAGAGTGAAAACTACAGAAGGAGGAGAAGGAAAACACGGATACGGATAGTGAAGGAGCAGGGGTGACAACGAAATGGGAAAAAAAGACGGGAACCCCAAAATGGACAATTGGGCCAGGTTTCTGCCAGATCCAACAACAATGGGGAAAAAAAACAGGAAGGGAACTGGAGATGGAGAGACGAAGAAGTCAAAAAGCCCCAGACTACAGAAAAAAAGTGTGGGAGTTTTCTGCCAGCTCCTCCAACATCATCCTTCGGACTAAAAACAGACAGAGGACTGGTGATTCAGGAACTATGAGGAAACCGGAAACAGAAGGAAAGTATGAACTTTTGGTCGAGGGTACCTGCCAGCTCCTTCAAAGCTGTTGGGAACAGATCAGAGCAGGAGATTGGAAAAGGGGACAAGGGAAAGGTGTTAAGTATAGGGTAAGATGTCGCTGAAGATAGGTACCCCTGAACGTGCTCAGCGTATATGATAAACCGGGCTGTGTTGTGACACTCCACTACCTGTCCAGAGTAAAGGCCGATGTGCTGTTCCTGCAGGAGTGCAGAATCCCGCACTCCGACAGCTACAGAGCCTGATCCAAGTGGTAGGATTCCTACAGACTCTGTGTGATCCGGGTGTAATGACAGCTGCAGCTTTGGAATGTTGGTCCTACCTCGGGGGAAGAACCTCACTAACACTGACCATAAGGAGGAGTGGAGGAGTCCACGTGGTGGACGTACTGTATAACGGAGCTCCGATCAGGCTTGTTAATGTGTATGCCCCGACAGGGAAGAATGAATGCGTGGCCCTGTTCCAGTTGCTTTCTCCACTGTTGGTCACATCCAGACCAGTCATTCTAGAAGGGGATTTCAATTGTATATTGGAGAGAGATGGGAGATCTTCCCAATCTGATGGGAAATGGATGTTATGTCCAGATGTTATGTCCAAGCTGCTCCAAAGAGTGGTGATGGACATGCATCAGCGTGACATTTTCAAAGCCCTTGTGGATGGTGCACCAAAACAATTTACCTTTTCCAGGCCAAATGGATCGTTTGTTTCGCACATAGATTTCCTGTTCGTTTCAAGAGGTCTTGAGGTTAAGAGTACAGACATCCAACTGGCATTCTTTACTGACCACCGCCTCCTGCTGGCTAACCTGCAAGTGCAGGAAAGCCGTAGGATGGGTATGGGGACGTTGAACGTTGAACGAGATTGAACGTGAAATTAATGACCCGGGGAAATGTTGAGGAGTTGCAGAAGGAGTATTGAGGGTGGAAATCCTTGAGGGATTTCTGTGACTCCTCAACCTAATGGTGGGAAATGGTAAAGAAAAGAATTAAGAAATTCTTTGATCAGAAAGAGGTAGCATTAGCTAGAGCTAGGCAAAATGAAATGGCCAGACTCCAGACCAGGCTGCAGGGCTCCTGCGACAGCAGTTGGAAGGTGCCGAGATTAGGGAGGAATTAAGAGGCCAGAAAACTTCACTCCTTGCCTCCAAAACTTCCAAGGTGATTTTCCGCTCCAGAGTTCGCACGATAGAGCAGGACGAAAAATGTTCAAGCTTCTTCTTCCAGAAAGCGAACAGAGGCAGTTCTGTGATCTCTGGATTGAAGTCCTGTAGTCCTGTAGCTCAGTGGTTGAGCACTCGCTTTGCAAGCGAGAGACCTGAGTTCAATTCCAGGCAGGGCGAAACCTTGGGCAAGTTTCCTTACTCCACACAGAGCCTAATAATAATCCCTCCAAAACCAAAAACAATAATAAATTGGTCATTTTCAACCCATGACTGTTTGTGGGACATTGCTGTGCGCAATTGGCTGCCGCGTTCGCCCACAAATATACAGTCAATTCACTTTACAGTGTGTTCTGTGAAGCGCTTTGGGACGTCCTCCTGACGTGAAAAGCGCTATATCAAATGCAAGGATTATTATATTATTATTATAAGGATGTGAACGGCTTGGTGTGCGCAGAGCAGTAAGGCATGTAGAGGATCGCAAGGTCATCTTAGCCCCCCGGGATTTCCTGTCTGCCCTCACAGAGCTGCTGGATGAGGGCAGCTGGGAACATTTAGATTGCTCGCTCTCTATGGAAGAGTTGATTAGGACAATCAAGTCCCTTCAGACCGGTAAGACCCCTGGGACTGATGGCGTTCCAGTGGATCTCTACTCAACTCTGTGGGATGAGATAGGACTGGATTTGCTGGAAGTGTACAACAGCATGCTGCTGGAGGGTATCATGGTGGACTCAATGAGGAAACACAACATCACCTTGATATACAAAAATAAAGAGGGAAGAGATGAAAAACTGGAAGCCGATTTCGCTGCTAAATGTAGACTATAAGATCCTGGCTAAGGTAATCTCTGAGAGGATGAAGATGGTGCTGGAGCAGTTGTTGCACCATGACCAGACTTGCATGGTTCCGGGCTGGAGGATCTCTGAAAACCTTACGTTGCTCAGGAATACCACCATCTACGTGCAGGACAGGGGCGTGGAGACTTGCCTAATCAGGAGAAAGCTTTTAAAATAGTATCTCATGACTACATGTTTGAGGTCCTTGCTAAAATGGGTTTCGCGGAGGGAATTCTAAATTGGATACGGCTGATCTACGAAGACATCTGTAGTGCAATCATGATGATAAATGGACATGAAACCCACAGTCTTCCCATCAGATCTGGAGTCAGGCAGAGGTATCCCCTTTCCCCAACCCTGTTTGTCTGCTGCATAGAACCTTTTGCACAGGCCATCAGGAAGGAGGAGGGAGTGTCACCATCCCAGGTAGCCGTGGCTCACAAGCCAAGATTTCCCTGTATTTGGATGATGTCAGTCCTTTGCTCTGACCAACGATCGATCGAGAACCTGCTGGGCATCTGCAACCATTTCGAATGAACTTCAAAAGGGTAAATCGCTTATCCTTTCTTTCAAAAGAGTCAATTGACAGAAAAGTGAGGTGATGTACTTTGGCAACTGGTAAGAACGCAAACTTACACCATTTGACATCAAAATCCTCGGCATCTGGTTCGGGGCTGTCGGAGCATGCAAGAAAAACTGGGAAGAGCGGATAATGTGAGTGAAGAAGAAACTAGGGAGGTGGGAACAGCGCTCACTGTCAATCACTGGGAAAAATCTAGTGATCCAGTAAGAGGTGAATCTCTGGCCAGTGCAGTCACCAAAAGCATTTTTTATTTATCTGGAGATCTGGGACGGATCATGTCTACAGAGCCACAATGCACAAGACTCCAGATAAGGGAGGTAAATAATGGCAGCAGAATAGAGGAGCAAGGAGAGTGAGAGACAGTAGTGGCCGACACAAGATATCGAGCACTTCTTTGAAAATATTGAATTTGAAGTGGATGCATTTTTTTCTGTTACGAGTGTGTTTTCCTTCTATGAGGAATGTATTGTTTATATAATCACTTGGGAAGAAAAGGACGGGGCCATTTCCGATGTCACGATTTGTTGTGATGTTAAATTTTTTTTTGCAAATGTTCAGTGATGGGTGTGTTTTAATATATGTAGAATGCTGAATTTTTTTTATATACCAAATAAATATAGATTTGTTTAAAAAAAGTGAGCTAAAATAAAAGAGTTTTCTACGTATTGAGTGTTGAGAACATTACAGAAGCAAGCCAAAGATTTCATACATACCATTCCAATGCATGATCGAGTAAGCCAAGGCTTGCTGTCATCATTTTTATACACATAGAGTTTACCATTTGTGTCACCAACCACCAGCTCATTCAACTGTAGAACAATTAGTAGTAACATTATAAGCATTCTCCTTCTAGGCAGCAAGTTTGCACACAATAAAAAAAGTCACAACAAGCATCAGTCCATTTGATTGATACTTAGGCTAAAGGGACATAGCTCAAATGAAATTCTGGGAGAAACTGGGCTTGTATTCCCCACAAAAGAGGAGGTTAAAGGATATTCGATTGAGGTGTTTTAAAATAATGAAAGGAATTGACAGGTTCGTTTAACAATTTTGTCCTCTGGTGGAGGGATCAATGATGAGAGCACTGGTCTTTTCATATCAAATCATGTTGTTGTCTTAAAGTGCTTCGCAGGATTTATTGTAGAGTGTAGTAACTGCATACTTGTAGGTGAACATGGCAGCCAATTCACACATAGCTGTGTCCCACAAATTACCATGTAATGAATGAACAATTTTTATTTGGCGGATTTTTGGCTGGGACATTGGGAGAATTGGAATTGGGTGGGGCTTTGGCTTCCAGGATAAACAAGAGCTGAGTGGGAAGAATCCCTGCCCTAATAACTACCTGCGCCTCCAACTCCTGTCGACAAGCGAGGCTGATTGGTCTAACATTGCCCCGGAGGCCTGCAGACCTTCCTGACTCAAGTCCCAGATAATCGAGACCACCATTGAGTTGACTCGATTCCAAAAATCTGTTGCTAAAAACCAACCGAAACCAAGGAGACCCCTATGCATTATCCCCCCACCCCCGGACAGCATACTGTGCAAAGAATAACAGATCCCTGAGAGCAAGATACAGGTTGGAATTCAATACTGTAGATTATATAAGGACTGCGGTTTGAAGATAACACAGCAGCCAATTTCCCCATTGCAATATTCCACAAACAGGCTTGTCATAAATGAACAATTTTTAGTTATAATAATCCTTGCATTTGATATAGCGCTTTTCACATCATCTCAACGTCTCAAAGCGCTTCACAGAATAGACTGTAAAGTGAATTGACTGTATATTTGTGGGCGAACGCGGCAGCCAATTGCGCACAGCAATGTCCCACAAACAGTCGTGGATTGAAAGGACCAATTTATTATTGTTTTGTTTTGGAGGGATTATTATTAGGCTCTGTGTGGATTAAGGAAACTTGCCCAAGGTTCGGAATTGTCAGCTGGGATACAGAAGAAAATCTCTCTTCTTCCCAAAACATAGTCACTCCTCTTTACCCATCACTCTCTAATCCTATCACCCCCATCCTCGCCCGGCTTCACTGGCTCCCCATCACGCAGCGGATACGGTTCAAGATCCTGGTCCTCACCATCAAAGCGCTCCACGGCCTTGATCCTCCCTGCCTCTGTGACCTCCTGACCCCTTTGCAACCTGTCCCCTCCCTGCACTCTGGACTCTGGCCTGCTTCACGACCCAACTCGCCCACCCCACCATTGGCGGGCGGGCCTTCACCCTCTCCGATTCCTCTGGAATTCCATCCCACAGTCCTTCCGCCTCGCGCCCCCCTCCCTTGTCTCCTTCAAGACCCGAATCAAGGCCCTCCTCTTTGACCGTGCCTTCGGTCACCCTCCTACTCCTGCCCCTCAAGCCTCCTGATCCCAACCACCAGCTCGGGTGCGGATCCCTGACTGTCCAGCACTTTACAAATGTAATGTGTTGTTGTTTACAATAAATGCCTTGACGACCTGATAAGGAGCCATATCAAATGCAAGGATTATTATTATAAGTGGTGACATGAGATCTCCAGCGCCGCCCGAACAGGTGAACGGTTTGGGAGGTTTACAAACGTTTCCAGGGCAGTGACAAACAAGACAGGAATCTGACTGAATGGGTTCGTGTATCAATGGAAACACGGACTTCCCCGTCACTTCCGTGATCATTACCCCGTTGTTGTCGGTGTCTCCCAGACACACCGCCTGCGGGAACAGATTGCCGGTGAAATCCAGCGCCACTCGCTCCACGTAACTGACCGACCTCATGGCTTGTGCTCCAGGTCTGGGCCTCGCCCTGAGCCCTGAGCTTCGGTGCCGCTCTCACTCTCTCGCACTCATTCTCTCTCTCTCTCTTCTCTCCGGGTCTTCTGGATCTACGGAGGCCGCAAAGAGATCCCCGGACATCCTCAAAACGCGAACCTTTCTTTCTCAGCTCGAAACTTTCCTTTTCCAAACGGTTCTACAGCTTCCCTCTCACACGCACCCTCTCACACTCATTCACTATCTCACATTCCCATTACACAGCCCCTCTCACTCTCTCACACTCACCGTGTCACACGCATTCACCGTCACTACATTCTCGTTACACAGCCCACTCACCCTCTCACACTCATTCACTGTCTCACATTCCCATTACACAGGCACCCTCCCTCTCTCACACTCACCCTCTCTGTAGCCTCATTTACTGTCTCGCTCATACAGATATAACCAGTTCCACTTTCCCACAGGCAGATAAAGTATCAGGTTATTCTCCACTGAAGTATTGCTCTGCACTGGACCATGTGCAAAGGGAGAGGCTGCTCTGCATTTGAGCATGTACAAATGCATTTGAGTTGGCACTTGAGCATGTGTGGACAGATAGACAAGTTTATTTGCACTGAAGCATATATCGATGTATGAAAAAATTATTTTGGGAGAACTGGAAGACAATTAGAGTGAGAGGCATCAACCGTATCCGGGGCCCTAAAACTTGGGTGCCCTAATTCATGGTTTTAATGGTTTATTGGTTAATGTGCTCTTGTTCTTCCCCCAGAGGTTCACAGCCTACTTACCTGAGAGTATTGAGCGCAGATTGGCCAGAGCCAAAGTATGTGTTTACGTGTGTGCATGGTGGGGAGTGGGGGAGATATAACCCGGGTATGTGGGTTGTGGGGGTCTTGCTAGCAGGGCTTTGACAGAAATTAAGATATATTTGTAGCCCCAAAGTCAACCAAACACTAGCCTCCAAAGTAGCCTCAAGTTTATGTATCACCTGCTCTATGGAGTGAGCAGAGCGGCCTGATTTAGGTTAGTGCTTTTTGAAACTGCAATGGAAGGTCTTCAAATGGGGGGGGGGGGGGGAGGAGAGGGGAAGGGGAAAACAACATTTTGCAGGTTTGACTTTTTTTTAAGCTAAGCACTCAACAACATGTGATCACAAAGTCCTACATCACATGGCTTTGTTTTACCTAATAGTAGTAGGAACCCGGTTGTTAATCGATTGGCAGATCGCTTTTCAGGGTAATACTGTATTTGATATTACACCTTACAATAATAATCCTTGCATTTGATATAGCACCTTATCACATCTTCCGAGACATCTCAAAGCACTTCACAGAATATATTGTAAAATGAATTGACTATGTTTTGTGAGCGAAATACGGCAGCCAATTGCGCACAGCAGTATCCCACAAACAGTCGTGGATTGAGTGAACAATTATGTATTATTATTTTTGAAGGAATTATCACTGGAAAAGTAAGAAATGGGAGCAGGAGTAGGCCATTCAGTACCTCGAGCCTGCCCCGCCATTTAATAAGATCATGGCTGATCTTCTAACCTAATTCCATTTACCTGCCCTATCCCCATATCTCTTAATCCCTTTAGTTTTTAAACATCTATCAATCTCAGTCTTGAATATGTTCAATGACTGAGCACCCACAACCTTCTAGGGTAGAGAATTCCGTAAATTCACTGCCCTCTGAGTTAAGAAATGTTTTCTCAACTCAGTTCTAAAAGTCTTGACTTTTAATCCTGAGACCTCTAGTTTTAGATTCTCCAACCAGGGGAAAGTCTCACAATATCTACCCCGCTGAGACAGAAGCCATCCTCTGCCAATCGACCGACAATCAGGTTCCTACTTACTGCTAGGCAAACAGAGGTGTGTGTGGAGCGAGGAAACTTGCCCAAGGTCCCGCTCCACCCAGGAATCAAACTGGGTCCTAACCCGTGAGGAGTGCTCGTTAAGACTCCAGGACTCCACAATATAAGTTTCTCTCTCTCTCGCTCTGCCCCTGTGTCTCACACACGTTGCCTTTTTCTCACTGAGTTTCAGTCTCACACACTACAAATATATAGTCAATTCACTTTACAGTATATTCTGTGAAGCGCTTTGGGACGTCTAGAAGACGTGAAAAGCGCTATATCAAATGCAAGGATTATTATTATTACTGTGTGCAATTGGCTACCGCGTTTCACTCACAATATTATAATAATAATAATCCTTGCATTTGATATAGTGCTTTTCACGTCGGGAGGACATCCCAAAGCGCTTCACAGAACACACAGTGTAAAGTGAATTGACTGTATATTTGTGGGCGAACGCGGCAGCCAATTGCGCACAGCAATGTCCCACAAACAGTCGTAGATTAAAAATGACCAATTTATTATTGTTTGGGGTTTTGGAGGGATTATTATTAGGCTCTGTGTGGAGGAAGGAAACGTGCCCAAGGTTTCGCCCTCTGCCTGGAATTGTACTCAGGTCTCTCACTTGCAAAGCGAGTGCTCTAACCACTGAGCTACAGGACTCCACTGTATATAGGTCAATTGACTTTACAGTATATTCTGTGTAGCACTTTGAGATGTTTCAACAACGTGATAAGGCGCTATATCAAATGCAATAATTATTATTACTCTGTTCCATTATTACAAAACAGCGATATGAGACTACGGAGGAGCTGGAAACAGAGATGTATTTCGCGGGTCACTCCCAATCCTTACGGAATGTTACTCCGAACGTGGCAATGGATTATTATCTGCCATTATAATGATGGGACTCGCGCCCATCCTCTGGCCGCCAAAACACAGTTAAACACGTGTACTGAATACAATTAATTACTTCCCAATACAATTACCATCATTCTGTAGCAAACAACATGGAGGGAAGGAAGAGCCCTTTGTGAACACCGAGAGCCTCGGCCGATTGGGTGACATTGGAGCACGTAACGGAGCGCGCGGGCGGGTCCTTCTGCGGTTCTGGAAAGTTCTTCGCGGGCGTTCTCCCGGCATCCTCAGCGCTTTCCGCGCCTCGCGGACACAAGGTGAGCGGGACCGGCAGCGGCGCGGGTACACTGAGCTCCGCTCCGCACCGCACGGCTTCACTCCTCCGGTCCCCCCATCGCTGCTGCCGCTGACCTGTTTTGTCGCAGTCCCACCGACCGAGACCAGCCATGACTGCAGGAGAGGAGCAGGCCGAGCAGGCGCACATCCCCCTGGAGGGGGAGGACATCAGCCCCAAGAAAGACGGCGGCATTCTGAAGGTGAGCGCAGGCCGCCCCCCGCCCCGGGCCGGGTTCACCCGGTCACCGCAGGCCGCCCCCGCCCCGGGCCGGGTTCACCCGGTCACTGCAGGCCGCCACCCCGGGCCGGGTTCACCCGGTCACTGCAGGCCGCCACCCGCCCCGGGCCGGGTTCACCCGGTCACTGCAGGCCGCCACCCCGGGCCGGGTTCACCCGGGCACTGCAGGCCGCCACCCGCCCCGGGCCGGGTTCACCCGGTCACCGCAGGCCGCCACCCGCCCCGGGCCGGGTTCACCCGGGCACTGCAGGCCGCCACCCGCCCCGGGCCGGGTTCACCCGGGCACCGCAGGCCGCCACCCATGTGTGCACCTCGCTTCTCCTCCACCCCACTCCCTGGCTTTGTAACCCCACCCCACCGCAGAATCAGCTCGGTCACTGCATTGCTGCGGACTCCAGAGAGGTTCAACCTGGAGAGGTTTTTTTGTTCGTTCCCAAGCTGGTTACTGCACCTGCAACCAGGAGGCAGACTGCTGCAGCTCTCCTCTCCTCACCTTGCAACACATTTTCTTACCAGAATCACTGCTGATCGGCTTTGACGCGGGGGTGCGTACTGTATTTCATGTGGTAGAAGTTTTGGATGGGACCGTTTAGAGGATGTTTCAGTTTACTCAGTATGTGACCAGGTACATAACTTTGGAGTCTTGAATGATTGTATAGAGGGATCTTAATTTTGTATTTCATGTATGCTGCCTGCACCTGATCTGGGAAAGTGCAGAGGGAGCTTTACTCTGTACCTGCCTGACCTGTGAAAATTGGATTGGACCATACTTCACAGTTTTTTGAGGGAAAGAAAAAAGATCAATAACAGGCAAGCCTTTTTTTCTAGAATTAGGCTCGTCTGGTGTTTGTAATGTCTGAGATGATCTTCAATAGACACAACATAAAAGCAATGGAAAAGGTGCAGGGTAGGTTCATTTGGATGGTAACTGCCAAGTTATTTTTCATTTATGGAGAGGCTGAATAAATTTGTCATTTGTTTTCAACCACACAAGCAGAAAAGCTTCAGGGGAAACTTCATGAGTTTTCAACCTCCTGGAATAGTAGTAATTACTAATAGTAATTATTTCCACTGGAGCAAATCAATCATAAGTGGACACAATTTAACAAATCAAATTCTGGATGGTTACTTAACTTCCTTCAGTTGACTATAAATTTGACCAAGGCTCTCCTGCTTGACCCCCATCAATGCCTTCTCAAACGTTGACAGCTTAAATGTGTTTGGATGCTCACTTTATCTCAACAAGCCAGTGCAAAATCTCGGTGTTTTGTTAGATACCCAACTGTCTTTCAAGTTGAAAATCTGGGCTCTCAGTTGCTCAGTTTTTCACTACTGATGCAACATTGCTCACCAATGCCAATCATTACCTCTTCTTCCGAGATCCTCATTCACGCCTTCACCACTCCTACCTTGACCGTTCTGATCCTCTGCTTGCTCCCAACAAGCAGAGGATTGGAGTGGAGTCTCCAGCTACACCCAACACAAGCTGAATAACAACCAGAATGGATCCGCACACCTAACGCATTCTCAGCTAGATTGGCTCCCCAACTGATCAAATTCAAAATCTTTGTCCTTGCGTTCTCATTTCCCTGCTGTTCTGCTTCATGTAAGCACTCACTCGCACCCCGCCTCGGGTAAGCCATACTTAGAGTAGATTCCATAAGTTCATGAAAAACGGAATTGGTAATATACTTGAAAAGGAGAATGAACAGGAGAGTTGTCCAGGAGAATTCGATCTTCTATGAACCGTTGTACAATGTGCATTTAACCAACCTGCCTGTTTTTCTTCCTCTGACCCACAGCTGATCAAGAGCGATGGCACTGGGGATGAGACCCCGATGACTGGCGACAAGGTCTTTGTGCACTACACAGGGCTGCTACTGGATGGCACCAAGTTTGACTCCAGCAGGGACCGTAATGAGCAATTCATGTTTGAACTTGGCAAAGGTAAGATTGTCTGAATCTTTCGTCTGTGGTCATGCTCATGCCCAAACCAATACTTCATAAAATAGTTTTGCCATACCAGCAGCTATACATACTCCTGTTCTATCATGTGCAGATTACAGGAATCCCATGGGTGTTTTACTTGGTTTGAACAGGGCAAGTCATCAAGGCTTGGGACACAGCTGTGGCCACCATGAAGATCGGAGAGGTTTGTCAGATCATCTGTAAACCAGAGTACGCCTATGGTTCAGCAGGAAGTCCCCCCAAAATTCCACCTGACAGCACCCTGGTCTTTGAGGTACGTCTTTCTGTCTGGACTAAGCAGTGTGGGTTCAGGTCTGGTGTGAAGCATTGACGGTGATATCTGGTGTGATTGATGACTTGCTCTAAGTGCTTCTATGTTATGAAGGATAAAATCAGCAATTTCCTGTGCTTAATCACTGTCTGGAAACCATTTCCACCTCACTGGAAGGTGCAGATGTGGATGCCAGCCAGGTAAAGGCAGGCTGGAATGCAAGTGGTCAAAAAGTCCCCTTTCAACAGTTGCTTTCAACATTTACACATGAAGAGTAAGGATTTGGGGGAGTTCTGAAGGTGCTGTGTCTCTCTCTCCAAACAAAGGAAGGGGTCAAACCCAATCAGAAGAGGAGAACAGCAAATAAAGGAATGCCTCTGAGTTGCACTTGAGCTTTTGCTTCTTTGACATCTCAGTATTTTGTTTCTTCTTGGTTAGATTGAACTCTTCAGCTTCAAAGCTGAAGACCTGACTGAGGATGAAGATGGGGGGATTATGCGTCGGATCAGGAAGAAGGGAGAAGGTTATTCAAAACCAAACGAGGGAGCCTTAGTTGAGAGTAAGTAATGTTCTTGTTTTCCTTCCCTCTCTCTGAATTTTGTGCAGCTATCCAATTATCAGAAGCTGTTACCTGTGAGGCAGCGGGAAATCTACGTATCGGAGGAGTGGACTGGTAGAAGAGTTAGCAACAGCAGTGAATTGCGCACATTTGATCCTCACATCTTTCTCTTTTCCAGTTCATTTGGAAGGCCAGTATCAGGGCACAGTATTTGACAGCCGAGATGTGTCCTTTGTCCTCGGAGATGCTGAGGAGAATGACATTCCTGTGGGTATTGAGCAGGCTCTGCAGAGCATGGAGAAGGGGGAGGATGCCATGATATCCCTGAAACCTAAGTGAGTCCCACTCTTCTGAGCCCCAGCAACAAATTGCAGCCTGGTTTCCAACGATGAGACAGTACAACTCTGCCCCAACAATATTCTGGCTTTAGAACTAAGCCCGACACAGGTTGTGCAGAGAATAATGGATTCCAGCAGAGTTGTGGGCTAGAATTACATCTGTATGTTGGAGATGTGGGGGGAATAAAAGTTGTACATTGAACTATAGATCATTGAGAGTGAGTTTTAGCCTGCAATCTAATCCAGGGTGAAACATTTATATGGAATATCTGATCCCCAGGAGTGAATTACGGTTGGAATCTAATTCATGGGTGTGGTGGAGGTTATACATAGAATAACATTTCTGAAGAATGAAGTCCGTGTTGTAGAGGTTCATGTGGTTAAAATAACTGCTCACTAGAATGAGAAAACAAGATAGTATCTAATTCAGAAATGAAGATGTTTTATAGATTAACTGATTGTGCTATATCACAATGTTATAACTGAGTGTCTTATAGACTGGAATCTGATCATCTGTTTCAGGTAGTTTATATATTGATCTCAGAGAATGAGTTAAAGGAGAGGCTTAAATCCAGGTGTTGATGGTAGTGGTGGTGGTTGGGGGTTAATGCATCTCACTAACCTTTGCTGTGTGTCTTCTCGAGTAGATATGGCTTTGGAGAAGCAGGAAAGAGTAAGTTTAGCATCCCAGCAAACGCAAGTCTGGTGTACGAGGTGGTGCTGAAGAACTTTGAGAAGGTGAGCTGCTGATGCTGTCCGCCACTTCCCAATCCTTTGCTGAGAGACACATTGACTGCAATGGGACAATTGTGTATTTCTCACCTGCAAATCTAATCTTGTTTACATATCCCTTTAATTCTCCCTCCACTCAGCTAACTCGGGCTTGCTGAATGTCCCCCACCTCCTCAATGCTAACATTGGTACTGAGCCTTCAGTTCCAACTCCCCAACCTTTGGATCCCTTCTTTTACCCCTACCATCACCATTTTTCTCGCTTTCAAATCCTGTCCAAAAATCCTACCTCATTCAATGCATCTATGGCCCTCTTTTATTGAATGTCCAACCCCATCCTTGTGAAATGCTCAGATGTTTCCCAATGTGAAGAGGGTTCTATAAATACAAGTTATTGAAGTTGTTGCTCCCCAATTTTAAACTCCTGAGCTTGGTGTGGTGGTAGTGGAGAAAGCTAACTCTGCCCCTTCTGGCTGGAAAAACAATTTCCTCTGAATTCATCCCATTTCACAGCACTTGTCAGGCGTGGCGAGGGTACAGCAGTGATAATTGGGATGAGAGGTGATGTTTTCCTTGGAGAGACTTGAAGCCTGTTGGTGCAGAAGAGGAAATTAATTGAGATTTTCAAAATTATACATTTAATATAGATGAACAGGTCAATAACATAATTTAATATCACCAGAAGAAGAAAAAAAGGGGAGATTTAAAAATAATCTCTTCATAGATGGTTGTTAGAATATAAAATGCTTTAACACAAGTGACTGCTGAAACATTTATAAGCACACACATTCAGATCACAGGAAACTATTCTTTTGCCTTTTGCCCCTACTTTTTTTACATTTCTTAGTGAAATATTTTAAGTATGTAAATATTTTTCTTTCCTCAGGCCAAAGAATCATGGGAGATGAACATTGCAGAGAAATTGGAGCAGTCTGCTATCCTTAAGGACAAAGGCACCCAAAACTTCAAGGTGGGTTTCTTGCAAGCGGACAGGGCTTTCTGTGGAGAAAGCAGAACAGGCTGAGCACATTCCAGAGCCCTAATTAATGCTGTCTTCAGTCCTTGCTCCATACTGGGTTTCTAGATTGTGGGAAGGCAGGTCCCATTAATATCATTGTATGGGAGGGAGGGGTGAGAGCCATTCCTAGTATGCTGTCTTGGGGTCCTGGTGCTGATTCTGTGGAGTGTCCATTTGCTTGGTGAATTGAGCACTGCATGGAGTGCCGAGATCCTCATAGATTGGATCAGTTGCTTGCTGAAGTGTGCACTGGCTGTGGAATGTGAGATCTGGGATGCAGGTTATTCAGGTGCTAGGTGAGTCAGGCACTGGTAATGGAGTGTGGGGATCCTGGTTTGTGGGGCGGGGTCGAGGTACATAAGGTATTTGGGTGTTGGCTGGGAATCTTGGGTGTGCCATGTCCAGACGTTGGATGCTGGTGGAGTGCTTGGTATGTTGGATGACCACTTGCTTGGTATAATTACCTTGTTCCAGTTGGGGAAATACAAACAAGCCAGTATTAACTACAAGAAAATTGTGTCGTGGCTGGAGCATGAGGCAGGCCTGTCCGAGGATGAAGAAAAAAGTGCACAGGCTCTGAGGCTGGCCGCTCACCTCAACCTGGCCATGTGCTACATCAAACTAGAGGAGAACCTACAGGCTGTGGAGAACTGCCAGAAGGTAATAGGTGACCTCTTTACTCCACCCCCCGCTTGGGGAGCTTCTCATTATCTTCCTCATCCCCTTCCAAATCTTCTCTTCTCCCCCCCACCACACACACACACTCGCGCACAAACAGCTCAAAGTGGGGACTATCAGTTGCGAGATTAGAGATTTTATGACCCCTTGTGGCTTTGTGAGTAAATTGTATGGTTTACCTCCATGGTTTTGGTGACAGTGCAGGCAGTTTACTCTTCTCAGCCATAATGGGACACAAGGAAGGGGAAAAATTCTGTCTTCATCACTGTCTATTGGTGACCATTCTTCCCTCCACCTTTCCTTTTGCTGGATAGGTGAAGATTTGGCCCAGTTGTGATCACCTTTCTCTCTCTTACCCCCTGGAAAGTGCCATATAGGCATTGTACTGGTGCCTGATTGAACTTCCTCCTTTGAAACTCCACACACACCGGTGGGTGGGGGGCAGAACTTTAACCTTGTAATGCACTATATGGTGTTGATAACCACTAAGCAATGTGGGGCATAGGTCCAGACTGTACGTTTGGTTGGCACTGTATGTAATTGCTTGGTTGGTGAAATACTCATGCTTCTACATTTCTCTCAGGCCTTGGAACTGGATACCAACAATGAGAAGGCCCTCTTCAGGATGGGTGAAGCCCGACTGGCAATAAACGAGTACCAGTTGGCGAAGTCTGATTTCCAGAAGCTCTTGGAACTGTACCCAAACAACAAGGCGGCCAAAGTGCAGATTGGAATCTGCCAGAAGAAGATGAAGGAGCAGCTGGACCGGGAGAAGAAGATATACGCCAACATGTTCGATAAATTTGCAGACATTGATGCCAAGGTAAGGCCCGCGGGTCAAGTATCATATTTGTTGGAGAACATGGCAACCAATGTTCACAATGTCACTGTCCCACAAACAGCCCAGAGGTGGAGACTGATTTTATCTGAAGGATTGTTGCCCAAGATTCCCATTTTGTTTCCAATAGTGCCATAGGATCTTTAATATCCAGCTGATCATTCCTTGATTTAACAAGCCATCTGAATAACGACATCTCGCAACAATTCAGCACTCCCCCACCATTACCTGAGAGTATCAGTCTGGGTTATGAGGTCAAAATCCTGATGTGGTCCTTAAACCCAGTGGTGTAAGTTCTACTTCCTGAGCCAAGTAACACCTTTATTTGGCTCTTGATCTCTATCTAGCGTACCTCCACTGGGAAATGTTGTATGGGGGAAAGTCAAGTGAGGGCAAGATCAGGCTTGGTTGTGCTTTTTGTTTTCCCCACCCTGCGACACATTCCATCACAGTTGATGTTAACAAAAAACAAGATATTTGAAAACTATGTTTCTTGAGTAGTTTGTGACTTCAGTTTGAAAATGTGGAATTGAGAAGTAAGCTGCTAGTCTTATTTTTTAAAAACAATGGATGTTTGTCATCAATGCAACAAATGTGGTTTGCGTTTCATACAATTATGTTATTATTTGTCTCCTTTTTGACAGCGGGAAGCTCAAAAGATGAAGAGTAAGCCGAAGGAGTCAGTGCATGGAGAGGAGGAGAGTCTGTTGGAGGGTGGCCGTGGGGAGCCAATGGATACGAGCGCCAAAGTAGTGGAGCCCAAATCGCAGACAGTGGAGGCTGCTGCCAGCGAGTAATGCCCTGGTCTGGAGCATATTCAGTCACTTGTCTAATCTGTTTAAAGCCCCAATGCCCGGCCCTCTACGTGTACAGTGTACACAGCAGTAAAGCTTCCCCGCTTGCCCATATCTATAAAAAATAATGCCCCTCCCACCAACCACACCACTGTGAGGACCTCAAGTCCCTGGCTCAGGCTGGATCAGAAGCAACAGTCTAAATACAAAGCTTGGTGCCTGACACTGCAATCGGGAGGAGATCTTGTGTGGGGGGGATTAAGTCGGGATTGTTATCTTCACCACTTAAGTGTCCTGACATTCAGCAGCAGACTACTGTTGCCAGATATCTCTGCTCTAGTGATAGAGAAGAGGAAAAGAGAAACAGGAATCGGTGATGGATGTCATTATAGCCAGGGTGCATGCTTTCTTCCATCTCTTTGTCACCGGATGATTATTCAGATGTGTATTCCCTCACATGGGTCATAATCACTGATGTTTTTTTATTTAACTGGTTATTTAACTTCCCAAAAATGTCCATTTACTGTACCCAGCTGTAGAGGCGAGGTATAATTCTTGCAGGCAGGTATCCTGACCCACACAAAATTTTGGATGCCCATTATTTCTGTTCTTTAGTTCCCAGCAAGTTTCTGGGTCTTGCAAACAGCAACTTGCCATCTCTGTTCAGCAAACTGAGACCTACTGTATTTTCTCTTTTCTCTTGTTTGCCTATCTCCCCCCGCCCCCCACAGCCATGGAGGCCGAGCCTTCAGCCTATTATGTCTGCTGACCTGCAACTCCCTAAGTCCCTCTGCCTGGCCTCCTCTCATAGCCTCTGAACAGTTACCTCTCTGCTCCCCATTCACTGCTCCGTATCTGGCCGCAAATCTCTATAAACACAGAAGTTGCTGGAAACACGCAGGAGGTCAGGCAGCATCCATGGAGAGAAGAAAATGACTTAACATTTCAGGTCTGTGACCTTTTGTCAGAATTTATTAATTGTTGCCTGCTTCTTTTCCCCTCCTCCACATTAAAACAATGGGATTTTTCTTTAAATGGTTCCCATTCAGTTTCACCCTGAGAGCTGGAATCTTGCCCATGCACCAAATCCCGCTCCTCAATTAGTTTGCATGTCCTGCACCTTGTGTTCTCTGATTCCCGTGCTCTCGAAGTGCGGGTCCATCCAGGGGTCTCCAACCTCTGCTCTGGCTATTTCCCAAAGCTGATTTCCTGAGGCCTCCAGGACTACCCACTCTTGAGCTGATGCTCTCCATAGTTGTCTGCTGCCCTGAATCCTCCATTTCCATGTCTTCAGCAGCAACCCAACAGGCTTTGACTGTCTGTTTGGCCTTAAGTCAGGCTGTCTACTTCATTCCAGTGGGAAGTGCTGCACCAGCATCTCTGATTATTGTTGTCCATCTTTATAACTTCATAACCAAAAGATGATTGTATGTAAATATTGACTTGAGTTCTTTTTGTTACATTTGTTTGAGGGAAGCATAGGATTCAAACCATTATTAAACATTCAGGAATCTGAGCCTCTTTTGTATCCATTCATTTCATCTTGGTCAACAACAACTTGCATTTATATAGCGCCCATCACACGGGATAGCGTCCCGGAGCGCTTTATAGTGGCAAAGTCTGACAATGAGCCAAGGGAGCGGGGAGGTGACTAAGCACGATCTAAAAGGAAGGTCTTTAGGTGAGATTTGAAGGTGGGGAGAGTGCAAGGTGGAGGGAAAGAGTTCCAGAGTTTTGGGGCGTAGTGGCTAAAAGCACGGCCACCAATGGTGGAGCGGGGGGGCATTAGGAGGCCGGAGCCAGCTGGCCGGAGGCAGTGGGTGGTGGAATGGGGGGTAAACGGGTTGGATAGGTAGGGAGGTGTGAGAATGAAGTGATATGAAAACGAGTGAGAAGATCTTGAAGTCAATCCGTTCATTGATTGGGAGCGAGTGGAGCCTGGCAAGGACTGGTGCGATGAGGGCACAGAGTTTCTTACAGGTGAGTATGCAGACAGCGGAGTTTTGAATGGGACTTTGTGTATGGTGGAGCTGGGTAGACCAGCGAGGGGCCCATTGGAATAGTCCAGCTGGGAAGTGACGAAAGCTGCTTCGTCAAGTTATAGGGAACAGGCAGGAGAATGGGACCAAACGGACTACTTTTAGTGAGACAGATTAATAAATAATACTCCCTGCATTTGATATAATCCTTTTCACGGCTTCAAGACATCTCAAAGCGCTTCACAGAATACACTGTAAAGTAAATTGACTATTTTGTGGGCGAAACACGCAACCAATTGTGCTCAGCAGTGTCCAACAAACAGTAGTGGATTGAGTGACCAATTTTTTTTAAAGGAATTATTACCCTTGGTGATTAAGTTGATATTGCAACTTCCACTGCTTGTATGTGTATCGGTGTCAGCTCCTGCAGGTACAAATGAAAGAAAGCTGTTTTGGTACATAATAAAGGTGACAATCTCAGTTTCTGTACAATTCACTCCAAGGAGCAAAATGATGATGTAAAAGAAAACCATTTCTGTCACCTCTTTGCTGGAGGTACTGTGCTGTATCCATTACCACTGAGAGGCAGCATTGTCCAGAGTAGCATTCAAGAGAACAGTTGGATCTCATTCTGAAATGTGGTTTAAGATAAATAGGAGCAGAGGAAGGTTTGAACTGGACAAATCCCCATTTGATTGAAACCATGTGGGCACAGAGCAAAAATTTCAAATTGATTACAATAGGAAAGATTGGGGAAGAGGCTAATGATTATCCTTGCATTCAATATGACTTTCCAAGTCGAGAATACCTCTCAGGACTTCACAAAATTTATAGCGACTATCATGTAGGCACAGGTTCGAAAGAATTCCTCAGTTTAGAGGAATGTTGTGTTTTGAATTTATCACTCTTGATTGGAAGATGGATTGGTCAAAAGGGAGCCTAATTAGTATCTGAGCAGTGAAAATAATAATCTGCATATAGTGCCTTATCACGTCAGTGAAACGTGTCAATGTGTTTTACAGAATATACTGTAAAGTGGAATGGCTACTTTGGGCAAAATGTGGCAGCCAATTGTGCACAGCTGTGTTCCACAAATAGTCGTTGATTAAGTGACTTTGAGGGATTATTATCCCCCAGAAAGTTCCTAAACATTTTGGGATTATGGTGAAAGATTTTTAATTGGAATATTAAAATAGAAAAACAAGTAGTGGAACAACTTGAACGGACCAGGCTGATTAGTTTCTGTTATGATCATGACCTGGGTTTGGTGACTGTAAATGGGAGGTGGAGGCTCTGAAAAACTACAATAACAACTTGCATTTATATAGTGCCCTTCACGCGGGGTAGCCTTCCAGAGCACTTCACAGTGGCGGAGTCTGACAATGCGCAAAGAGGAGAGGGGAAGGTGATAGTAAGCACAATCAAATAGGATGGTCTTTAGGCAGGTTTTGAAGATGGAGAAGGAGAGAGGGGGCAAGACGGAGGGAGAGAGTTCCAGAGTTTCAGAGTATAGTCGCTGAAGGCACGGCCACCGAGGGTGGAGTGGAGGGCACGAGGAACAATTAGGAGGCTGGCGTCAGCTGAACGGAGGCAGCGGGTGATGGAGTGGTGGGTAAGCAGTTCAGATAGCTAGGAAGATGTGAAGGATGAAGTGATTTGAAAACAAGTGAGAGGATCTTGAAATCGATCCATTCGGTGATTGGTAGCCAGTAGAGCCTGGTAAGGACTGATGTATGAGGGTACGGAGGTTCGTGTGGGTGAGTATCTGGGTGGCGGTAGCAGAGTTTTGAATTTATTGGATTTTGAGTATGTTGTAGCTGGAGAGACCAGTGAAGAGGGCATTAGAATAGTCCAGCCGGGAAGTGCCGAAGGTGTGGACGAGGGTTTTGACTACTTTGGTTGTGAGATACGAACGGAGTCGGGCAATGTGCAGAGGTGGAAAAAAGAGAAGGGAGTTTCTACCTGTGTTCTGGTCAGAGAACAGTGGGGTAGAAAGGAAAGCTGGGGATCAAACTTAACACCTAAGTTGCAAATGGGTTCTGGTAGTCTGAGGGAGACCCTGGGGAGGGTTCAATCTGCTTGTTCAGGTGGATGTCAAAGATCCCATGGCGCTATTTGAAAAGAGAAGGGAGATTCTCTACCTGTGTTCTGGCCAACGAAGCATAATCAATGGGGTCACTCACTCCATGGCTGTCTGTCGGACATTTGATGTGCACAAGCCATGACCACATCATTCCCACCCTCGCTCGACTCCACTGGCTTCCCATCCCCCAGAGGATCAAATTCAAGATCCTCATCCTCACCTACAAGGCCATTCAAGGCCTTGCTCTCTCCGACCTACTTACCCGCCCGTACCCTCCGTTCCTCTGGCTCCGGTCTGCTCCACATCCCCCGCCCCAACCGCCCTACCATCAGTGGCCGGGCCTTCAGCCTCTCAGCCCCTAGGCTCTGGAACTCCATCCCCCAGTGCCTTCGCCTTGCTTCCTCCCTTTCCTCCTTCAAGGCCGGTCTCAAGACCTTTCTCTTCGACCATGCCTTCAGCTCCCTTCTCGACTCTCTACACCCTCCTCGCTCCCTCCCTTCCCTCCCCTCACCCTGACCATTTCCCCCCTGCTCGGGTCCCGACCCAATTGTCCAGCGCCTTGGGACGTCCTCCCGACGTGAAAGGCGCTCTATAAATGAAATCTTGTTGTTGTTGCTGCTTTTTGCCCACAAATATACTGTCAATTCACTTTACAGTATATTCTGTGAAGCGCTTTGAGATGTCTAGAAGACATGAAAAGCGCTATATCAAATGCAAGGATTATTATTATAAGGAGTATCATGAAACACCAGCGTCCCACTGACCACACTGTCCTCCCAGCTTCCCACTGTCCACCCAGCTTCCCACTGTCCACCCAGCTTCCCACTGTCCACCCAGCTTCCCACTGTCCACCCAGCTTCCCACTGTCCACCCAGCTTCCCACTGACCACCCAGCTTCCCACTGACCACACTGTCCACACAGCTTCCCACTGACCACACTGTCCACCCAGCTTCCAATATATTGATTGGAAAGAATAATACTTACATTTGATATAGTGCCTTATCACATCGTAAAGGCATCCAAAAGCACTCCACAGGATATACTGTAAAGTAGATTGACTGTATATTTTGTATTTGATATAATGCAATCACACAATTGAAATGTCTCAATCCACTTCACCAGATATTTACTATAAAGCACAGTGACTGTAGATGAAAGCTGCAGCCAGTGTTTGTACAGCAAACAGTCACAGCTTGAATGACCAATTTTACATAGCGGATTGTTGGGACAGGACATGGGAAGAAACTCTTTTCTCGTTTTGAATAGTTCCATGAGATCTTTAAGGTCCACCTGATTCAACATTTTATCTGTAGGTGTAGGACAGAACCTCTGACATATTGCATGTAGTCAGTGAAAAGGTGCGTGAACAGTTTTCAGTCAGTTGGAGTGTGGGTGTTTTGCTTGCAGTGTGTGGGGGTGTGCTAACTAACCTCACAGTCCTGTGGTTAATGCAGAAACTCCAGGGAGGTAGAACACTGTGTGGTGATACTTAAAGGGGTTTTGTTCAGCTGCGGATGTTTATCAGATCCACATTCCTGGTTTGCAGGCCCTGTGAGGTTTTGATTTAACAGCAGGCTTGCTGATGAGCTTTCTCCATTCACCTTACTGCCTACATTGCCCTCAGCTAATGGCTCTAATCTTCAGTGGGATCTGGAGACAGTCTGAATGTGGCAGAGCTCTGAAAGGCTGTGTTTGAGATGGGAGATAGAGTTGGGAGTGCCTCTATGCTGGTGGAGGTGCCATGTTCTCCTTTGTTTCTTGGTGCTATTCCTGGCTGGAATTAGATTTGAGTTCTGGAGACAGTCTGTCAGGTTAAGAAAGATCTGTCCCTCTCCCTGAACTCGCTCCAATTCTGGACTATTTCCCACACCGAGAAATGTCTCACATCCAACACCAAGCAATACTTCCTCCAGACGATCTGTTCCTTATTGTATTAAGCCCCAGTTTATCCTTGTGTCTCTTCCATTCTTAACTCTTGATCCCTCTCAAGGTCAATTCCCAGGTCAATTAAAGCATAGGTTAAATAGAATGAAGCTTCCTCTATCCCAGCAGAGGCCAACCTGTGGCCCGGACAGCCATCAAAATGCCGAACATTTGCACAACTCTAGGTAAGACCGTGATGGCATAAATCAAGAAATATTCAGTCAAGAAAATTTATTTTGTTGGCCGATCATAAAGGTTGGCCACCATTGCTCTGCACTGTCCCATCACAACTTCCCAGGCAGAAAGAGTAAGGGTTAGACATAGAGCAGAGTTCCCTCATTACAATCCCATCAGCACTGCCAAGTCAAGTACAACAACAATAACTTGGAGGAGTGAAGGATCAAAGGAATAGAGGTGGGCATTTTGGGAGGGGGATGCTCGAGTTGGGTGGCAGCCAAAACATATACACTGAGTCTGGGAGCAAAGCGATCAGAGAGGGTTAAATGGTGAGTAAAATTCACTGTACAGTA